CTCCAGCGCTATCCCACTGGCACATTGGACAGTTACCTTTGAAGTTCCAATGAGCCAGGAATAAAGGAATGAGGTAAAGGACAGGTTGATTCTGAGAAAAGGATGATGTAAAAAGGGACAGGGGCATTTTGGAGAGAGTATGTCTGGTTTGGGAATGTTGGAATTAGTGTGTCTCAGTGGTGAGCAGAAGTTCAGGGCAGTAGGTAGCCAATACTGGAGTGCTAGGAAGACAGCCCACTTCTTCCTGGGAGGGATGGGAGACAACGTTACTGGACTTGATATCTTGTTTGAAGGCAGAATAGAAGTTTTCCTCCTCCAACTCTACTTCACTGTTGTTTCTTTCCTCCTTTATTTTCCTTATATAGATTCGTACAATAAAGGAACCCACATAACTATTTTGCAATTTGAAATTTGGAAAGCCAAAAAAAAAAGTCCTAAAGAAAATTTCATACAAATGTCATCTTTAGTGAAAGTATTCACTCAGGAAAACAATTTTCAAAATCAAGGATGTTGTTATGCACTGAAAACAGACACTGCAGCACATCATGTAGAATAAAGATAGCTATGATTTCCACATTGCATACCTCATCACTATCTATATTTTAGGGCTAGCTATGAACTGTGGATTAGAGATAGCAGGGTCACAAAACAAAGAGTTGGCAGGAAGGAGGAGAAGAGAAGAAATATAGATTAAAGTAAAAAGGAAGAGATAATTATGGTATGAAGTAGGTGGCACACAGCTGAGATTTCTCTTTAAGCCTATTATGATAAACTATTAAACAAGGAAATGGGGAGGTAGGGGTGATGGAGAGATAGGGCAAAGGAAGAACTTTTAAAATCATCTTTTACTAATTGCCTAAGGTTTGATATCCATGTTATTGTATTTATTTGTCCAGGTAAGTAATTTTATTAGAACAGACAAAAACTGGTATTTGGGTAAATGGAATAAATATACTAAGGACTTAGTATTTATTTATAGTTAGGCAGTACTGTGGCATTTTAAAAGCTATGGTAGTGCCTGGTATAGATCTAAACTTTAATGATAGAAGATGAATCTCTTAAATCCTATGGTAACAACTTCAACTGAAATACTATCCCTCCAGGCCTTGTGGGGGTGGCTAGAATTTTATGAAGCCCATGGATCATCTAGACAGGAAATTATTTTTCTTTATTCTTCTATATTCTCCCTATAGTTACAAGATGTAAGGAAATTGCATAGTGTATTTGAAATCAGGTTAAAGACAGTGCTTGTTAAATGTGTTGCAATGAAAAGTGATTATAACAAAGGGAAAATTTTATACTGGATTCACTATAATTTTATTTATCAGTTCCAAAAATTCAGCATAGATATTTGCCACATGTGTTTACTTCTAGTACATTCATTCAAAATTGCATTGCTTAGTACATGGTATATGCCAGTTTTTAAGTTTCTTGAATGAATAGTAACTGAGAGAATTGTTGAAGAACTGGAAAGAACTGTTTTCAGAGATTTGAGTTCCTTAAAACACATACACAACATAGATCAAACAGTTCTAGTTTCATCATCAGACCTTTATTTATTTAAATATATTTTAAAATTGATTTTTAGAGAGAAAGGAAGGGAGAGGGAGAAACATCAGTCAACCCCCCCCCTCCTCCTAATGCACCCCAACTGGTGATCAAACTGCAAACTGGGTATGTGCTCTGACCTCTGACTGGGAATAGAATGGGAATCCAACTGGTGAACTTTTGGTGCACTGAATGATGCTCAACGCTCAAACAACTAAGCCACACTGGCCAGGACATGAGATCTTTATTTAAAGCTATTTCTGGAAATATGTAATAATGAATTTATCAACTACATCTTTTCAGATTTAGATTCCCTTGTATAAAGGTAGAGAAATCCTAAGGTTCTAGGAAATGATATGCCTTGATGAAACAATCCCCAAAGTTGTATTTTGTCTTTATCTAACCATTCAATGCACATTCACTGATTTCATTCATATTGACGTGCCATATACTACACAATTTAATAGTACAGAAAATTAAATTTTTTTCTATTTTAAGAGATTTTTTTCACACAGGTTTATTTTATATAGTTAATTGTCACTAGAAAATACATAACAAACATTAACAATGTTATCATTTTTGACTCTATTAAAATGTATTCGTAGTTCAGTGTTAAGGTATCACCCAATGTGAGATCATTTTTTAGAACAAATTCAAAACTAAAAAGTAATTATTTTCCTTAACTTTGTACTCTTAATACTTAGAGCATAAGCATTGATGGGGAAATAAAATTAATAAAATCTCCCAATACAGAAATCCTCTCCACAAAGGTAGTGGAGAAATTAAACACTTTTATTATTGAATAAGCATCAAACCCGAATGTGATGTGCATTTAGGCAATCAGCAAAGCCATTGCAGAGACAGAAAGAAATCTCACTCTTCATCTAACCAAGCAGATTCAAACCATTACATATGTTTTAAACAATAACTGGTCCTCAAGTAAGGCCTTGACAACACCATTTGGACATATAATGCACCTTAACTTTATCTGGTAATTGGGATGACTGTGTTATCGAATTAGCTTTTTCCAGAGGAAAAACAAACTTCTCATATTTAAATGATAGAAGGTAGTTTTGCAAGTTGGTGCAATTTGCCCAAATATATTAGTCTTCTACTCTCCCATAGCAACTGGGAGACAGGGGTGCTATCTCTCTCTCTCTTATATTTTATGGAAGTATAGTTGACTCAAAACGTATTAGTTTCAGGTATACAGCGTCATGATTTGATATTTGTATATACTGTGAAATAATCACCACAATACAGCTAACAACTCTCACATGGTTACAAAATTTTAACTTGTGATGAAGACTCAAGATTTACACTTAGCAACTTATACATATGCAATACAGTCACCATGTTGTGCATTATATCCCATGATTAATTTATTTTGTAACTATAAGTCTGTATCTTTTGACTCCCTTTATAGATTTCAACCCCTACTCCCAGAAACCACCAATCTGTTCTCAGCATCTATGAGCTTAAACAAAACAAAACAAAACAAAACAAAACAAAACAAAACAAATTCCACATATAGCCTTGGCCAGTGATGCTCAGTTGGTTGAAGCATCACTGAAAGTTTCAATTCTTGGTCAAGGCATATACCTGGGTTGAGGGTTTGGTTCCCAGTTGGGTTGAGTATCAGAGGAAACCAATCACATCTATGTTTCTCTCTCTGTCTCCCTAAAAATCAATTAAGACATATCCTTGGGTGAGGATTAAAAAAAATCAACATATAAGTGTGATTATATGCTATTTGTATTTCTTTGATTTATATTACTTAACATAAGACCTCAAGGTCCATTTATGTTATCACAATTGGCAAGATTTCTTTCTTTTTTGAAGACTGAATAATATTCCATTGTATATAAACCACTCTTCTTTATCCGTTCATGGGTACTATCTCTTTTAATGTTTGCATTTCAGAGATAATTCCTTGAAAATTCCTGGGAAGACATTCCTGGGAAGTGAAGCTGACTAAGTACTAGCTGATGCAAGATTTATTTAGTAATCACAAACATTTATCTGCACTTCAAAGAGATGAGAAAGCATGCAACCATTAGAAATTTTCTAAGGTAAATGATTTGAGAAGGGAAATCTCTTCCTCTATTTTCGATGGGGAGAATTCTCTTATTTTAACATTTGATTTGTGTTTACAACATGTTTTGTGTTCTTTGACTTTGAAACAGTAGACAATAAAAGGCCAATTTAAAATTTATGTTTTTCTATGTGTAGGGCTTTTGCTACGGTCAAATAAACAAGTTTGGGGGGAAAAATTCACCCCTCTTCTTTGGCTCCCACGTAAAAGTTTTAAAGGTGGCATAGTGTGGAGATGAGGTTGATTGCAGTTAGATTTGCTCCAGGCAAAGAATGTGGTTCAACCAAAGTACATGCCTTAAGTCGGCTACAGGAACACACCCTTGAATAGTGACTAATACCTATCATACTGTTACAGATTACCTAGTTTGCTTCGTTTAGCTCCCATTACTCATTTTCCACCAAATCTTTTTGGTGAAGGACGCTTCAGAAAAAGCCTCACTGGGAGAGCAAACCAATTTGGGTTCTTCACGCATTCTACTCTCGAAGAGGTAAGAACTTATACGATCCACCCACAGGACGCTTTTAAACATCATCTATCACAATTCCAGCATTGAGTGTGCAGCTCTTTTTTTTTTTTTTTAAAAGTCGCAGGCACAGTAATTACAGGGATGAGAAAGACACAGTTCCTGCCTTTAGGTGCACTGAAGAAAGTTACAACTGATGCAAGTAAAATGCACAAGAAAAAGTGACTGATCCTAAGGGTGAAAAATGTGCATTTAGGAGTCGGGGGTCCGCGTTCCCATCGATTTCAGTTCCCGGGATCACCAGCACCCCGCGGGCACACTTGATCACGCCTCCGTCCCCACCCTCCGAATTCCTTTCCGGCGGCCGATCTGCGGGGTAGTCCCTTCCAGGCGGCCCCAGCTTATCACACCGGGCCGGGCCACTTCCCGGCCGCAGCCAGGCGAGTCTCCCAAAGTTTCCTGTGACGCCGTCCGCCTCCGGCGCATCCCGCCCTCACTCCCACCCGCCGGCTCTGGACACCGCTAGAGGAGCGGGCTGGAGGCACGAAGACAGCAGCACTGACAGGAGGACCTGGGACCCCACCCGAGCCGGGGAGGGAGCCCAGAGGCCGGTGGCCGCAGCTCCACGCCTCCCCTGGCCGCGCCCGCAGCCCGGTCCGCGCAAGCCCACCGGGCCCGGGGCCCGGGGCCGAGTCCCACCCTCCCGGGCCGGGGCCAGTCGGCCGCGCCCCGCCTCCTGGGAGGTGGTGGAGGAGGGGGTTGGGGGCGGCCGGCAGCGCCGCCTTCCGCTCGTGCCCATTGGCTGAGGCTGCGAGGGTGCCCGGAGACCGGAGTGCAGCTGGATTGGCCGTGGACGCTCGTGACAGCGGCGGCCATTGGCTGTGGCTGCCCCCGTGACGCGGGGTGGTGACTGGCTCCCGTGTCTGAGGGGCTCCTGCTTGTCAGGTTCTAGGTAAGTGAGTTTCGCGCCGCCGACGGCGGGCGCTGTTGCCTGGGGCAACGCCGGGGGAGGGGGGAAGAGGAGGGAAGACCAGCGTAGAACCGGGGCTACGCTCCCTGGCCGCAGAAGGGTGCCGGGGACTTAGCCCTGGCTGCGGCGGCTGCGCCGAATGCTCTTCCTCCGCCCTCAGCCACCCCCACCCCGTCCGCCCCAGGCTGCGGGGTCTCCCACTCGTCCTGCGCCCGCGGGGGAGCATTCCTGGTTCGGGTTTTGGGCCGGGCTGCGCACCCGGCCCCGCGAGGCCCGCCCCTCCCACCAGCCCCGGACGGGAGGCTTGAGGGGGCGGGTGCCGGCGCGAAAGGGCTGAGGCGGGCGCCACGACCCCGCCCCGTCGCCGGGTCGGGGGGCTGCGGGGTGTGGAGGGGGGCTCTAGGCACCGCCCATCACTCCCGCACCCCTTTCCCTCGGCGTGCACCACTCCTGGCGCGGCCCTCCAGCCGTGGGGGCCGCCCCAACCCCTAGGTGCTCCCCAGTTCCTTCCTACCGCCGGGGCCCAGCAGTCTCCTTTGACGCCCCCGCCCAGTCGACCCCGGCTCTTCTGCAGGTCGGCTTCCTCACCTCCCGCTTTTACTTCTCACCTTCCATCCCTGGTCCTGTCTGGCCCTGGTGCTTCTTGGGCCAGAGGTGACTCCGAAGAGACCGTGGAGAGATAAACTATTAAGTGTGAAGCTGCTGCTCTCTTCTTGCATTTGGGGTTGAGGAGGTGTTGGGAGGCACCTTTGGGTCAGCTTTCTGCCATTGGCGTTTCCCTTCTGTCAACTCTCTTAAACGCCCTGTTTGGGTTGGAATTGGTACCGCCTGGCCGGGGTAGGTCATGCACAAATGATAAGGAGTTGACTGTGAAGTTGTCGCTTTTTTCTTTGTACATTTGTGATGTTATCTGGTGCTGTGCAATCCCAAACCTAAAAATTTATTAAGGCTTGTAGCCTTTGATTTTTGTTCGCCTTATGGTTAAAAAGAAGTCTTAATTTGTAAGGGGCTGCATATGATCATTGTGGTTTTCACTGTCACTTTGACATCAGCTTCGCTAAGGGGATAGTATAAATAATAAAAAGGTATTTTAAGATAATAAAAAATTCTCAAATGGAACCACTGTATATAAAAGTATAACATAAAAATCAAATAAACCAAAACTATTTTAGTGATTAAAGACTAGAATATGCTTTTCAACCTATGGAATGGGAACAGGATTAAAAATAATCTATTGCAAAATATAATTATTTCACTAGTGCAGTGTTGTAGTCCTGATATACTTGTATGGTATTAAGAAGGACATTTGTGAAGAGCCATAAATTTGCCGTCAATGCAAAAGAAAGCTGAGTATATATCTTGCAATCCAGGAACACTTTTCTGCTAGAATTCTTTTTTTTTTTTTTTAATCTTCACCTGAGGACATTTTTCCATTTTTTTGTTAAGATAGAGTGGGAGAGAGCAAGAGAGAAACATCAGATAGAGAGCAAGAAACATCAATGTGAAAGGGACACATCAAGTGGTTGCCACCCGCATGACCCAACCAGGGCCGGGGAGAAACTGCAACGGAGGTCCGTGCCCTTAGTGGGAACCGAACCCGTGTCTCTGTGGACCACAGGCCAATGCTCTAACTGCTTAGCCAAACCAGCCAGGGCGACTCAGCTAGTATTCTTGATCCAAGGGAACTATGTTTCCAAAGGTATTGGGAATATATTGAGAGTACATAGGAATAGGTGCAAATGTTTTCTGTTTTCTTCCATGAATGGAAATGTTTTCTCTGTTTTCTTCCATGAAAGACTTTTGGTGAAGATCTGTTTCTTTTCCGCACGGATGGTTGGCAGCATTAAACATATACCATGTAAAATTATTTAAGCTCCACTTAATGTTGCTTCTGCACTATTTCAAAGGTTGATGTCAGTAGTTTGGAAGAAATAGTCCAGGCTTTTTAAAGAAAAATCACTTTCAGATCATCTTCAACTGTTAGGTAACTATAATTCTGGTCTGTGACCATTTCAAATTTGCCATTTTCTTTCCACCAGTATTTCACTATGAAAAGTTTCAAACATTGCAGAAAACTTGAATTGTTCAGTAACTAATTACCCAACTACCTGCACAGCAATAACATTTTTTTTTCTTTATTGATTCTAGAGAGAGAGGAAGGGAGAGGGAGAAAGAGATAAAAACATTGATGAGAGAGAACATCAGTGGGCCTCCTCTTGCATGCCACCCAGGGGGAATTTGGCCCACAACCTGGGCATGTGCTCTGACCAGGCATCAAACTGGCAACCTCTTGGTACATGGGTTGATGCTCAGCCACTGAGCCATACAGGCCAGGCAACAATAACGTTTTAAGTACAGTTGTTACATAATAAATATAAGGAACAGAGGAACTGAAATGATCAAGTTTGAAAACCAGCAAGTTGCTTATTTCCACTTGTAGATGGAGGTAGTGTTTATGAAACCTATAGCAGTTTAATTCCATGAGAGTTATAAAGCAACCTTGTGAGTGAGTAAGAAGTCATCATCTTTGTAAATCAAGGCCCAGATTAGTAAACTGCATTTTGGTAATCAGAAAAAATGAAAACTATAATGAACTTGTTATACAAATAAAAGTTTTGTTTTAAAATTGGACTGCTGTGTTAATAGATTCTAGTTTTGTACTTTAAGCATCTTCTTTTGAAGACAGGTCCAAAGGCTATCAGTTATGCAGTGCATTGGTAACATACTTAATAAATTGGATTAATCTAAATACATTGTGTTGGAATAAGAATGTATTTTTGTAATGGAAAAAGAAAGCTTACAAATGTGACATTTTGTTAGAATTATTTCATGGAAAATGAAGTAATTATCTAGAGAGATTTGTATTTTGATAGGACTCAAGACTTGCTTGGGTGTTGTTTCATGGTGTTGCTAAAGGAATCTTTTAATATAGAGCTTCAGTTTATAATAAAAGAAAAAGAAATGGCTATAAATTCACATATGTGTTTACTGTATTTGTAATTTTTCCATACTTAGGAAATTCCTGCACTTTAAGTATTTGAATCCTGTTTATCAGTCTTAGTTTACCCCAAAGTTTATTTGTTATACTTACCTCATTTTTATAATTAATTTCTTAAATATTGCAATTAAGAGCTATGTCTCAGAATTTATAGATCTTTGAATTAACTCATTTTTTAATATCTCATTTGTCTTTGGCATGCTCATGTATGATTCATTTACCATATTACTGAGAGGTTAAAGGGAACAAGCAGGTCATAATTTTGGAACTTTGGAAAGAATAAGATGCTTTTAAATAAAAAATTAGATCTTTTTAATTCAAACTCTAGGTTTTTCCCCCACCGCCTCTCTCTGTCTTTCCTTCTTCCTTTTTAATTTTTGTTATAAAAGCTAAATGCATTAAAAGCAAGTCAGTAAAACTATAGAAAAGTCATCAGTAATTCTACCATACTTAATGCTTTGGAAAATAACTGAAACTTTGCTTTTTCTGTAAAACTCTGCCAACATTACAGTTTTATGGTTTTCATTGTAGTATGTCTGCACTTACATCTAAACTTGCAGGAGTTCCTGAACTTGAGACTCAGTTACCCTAAATCAGAAGAGGGCTCCAAAATCTTGAAGAAAAATGGAAAAGAATCAATATAGGACAAATTAGAGTCAGAACAAAAGAATCAGACCCAAGCAATGATGTACTTATTTCATAAATATAAATAGAATCCCAGTTACCCACATGAAATTGCTTTTTGGCTGACACAGCTTGGGGCATCTCAGGTTTTTTCTCTGGAATTAAATACAACTAGGTAAGATGAAGTTTATTTAGTGCCTTTCTACAAACATTTTCAGATTTCTTCACTTTTGGAATATTACGTATTCAGCTTTTAAAAATTTATGTCATGTGTGATTTGGAATTATTTCCTAAACATCCATATATACTTATGAAAGTATGACTAGTTTTTAGTCTATACATCATCACCACTTACTATAAACCTGGCATCGTCTCCTCTTTTAGAAAGTTTTAATTAAAAGACTGACAGTTTTAATGTAGGTGTTTCTTGCTAGGTCACAGCGCGGAGTGAAAGAAGATTCTTTTTTTTGGAGCCAGATAATCTGGGTTTAGTCAGAAATTATGAATTTCTTTCTTGGGGTTTTGCTCAAGTTATTTAATTTCTTTAAACCAGTTTCCTCGTCTGTAAAATGGGGATGATTAAGTTGCCTCACAAGTTGTTATGAGGAAGAAATGAGACAATGAAGGTAAAGTGGCCCAAGTGAGGAAGTCCTCAACTTCCATATTATGTGAATTCCTTACATTATAGTTTTAATTTTATCTCTCTTAGTGTTATTGTGTTTATTTTAGCATCCTAAAAGTCCCTAAACTTTAGACTTAGGAAATTAAAATAATAACATTAATTTCACTTAAGTTGAATGACATTCGCATGTGTAGTGACACAGTAAATAATTAAAAAGGTCTCTGATTAGCTGTTTTTTTTATAGTTCTTTGATTACTTTATCTTAGTAGGGATAATCAGAAATTTAAATGCTTTTTACCTCGAAATATATCTAGTTTGTCTGAATTCCTGAATTTTTTTTTTTTTTTTTAACTTAGATTATTATCTGTTGTTGGATGGTTTCCCAAAATTCCTTTCATTTAAACCACAAATACTGGCTTAAAAGTGGTACAGAAAAACTAAATATTACTTCCTAAAATCTCTAGTGTTCCTCCCCATCATAAATCACATTTACTTAATCTATTTAAAACTTAAACTATTTTCAAATATATTACAACTCTAAATTGAGAGTTTTCTGCTTCCTGCTACTATGTATTATTTTTAAAGAACCAATATTTTATAAATATACCTAGTTCAAAATGTGTGTTCTATGATTATAGGGTTTAATCTTTAAAAACACACAATTTAAATGCACAGACCAACCTATAGTTGTCGATGTTGTGAAGCAAGCATTGAACTGAGTGAAGAGCTAGGAGTTGA